GTCGGACGCTTAACCGACTGCGCCACCCAGGCGCCCCTAACGTTTATTTATTTTTGAGACAGAGAGAGCATGAATGGGGGAGGGTCAGAGAAAGGGAGACACAGAATCTGAAACAGGCTCCAGGCTCTGAGCTGTCAGCACAGAGCCCGATGCAGGGCTTGAACTCACGGACTGCGAGATCATGACCTGAGCCGAAGTCGGCCGCTTAACCGACTGAGCCACCCAGGCGCCCCGCCTCCTCCTGTTTTAATCCTCCCCCTTGCTTTTAGATCACTTTAGAAAATAAGTAATATTTGTTATCATAGAACAGAGGTGGAGTGTCCTGCCTCCCTCCTCAGCTGCCTACACAGCTCTGGAGAAGATGATCTTAGTCACCTGGTCATGGTAGTGACCCATCCAGCTCCATCCTTTAACTTCTCAGGAGACTAAAAATTTCCTGGTCATTCAATCTCAGCCAGAAACCTTTGCCTGCACCTAAAATGGTAAAATGTTCAGCATTGTCTTCAAAGTGATTTGGGGCCTTATTTCAATTCTAGACTTGGACCCCAGTTTCATGGAGAGTACTTTTAAGTGTTACCAACTTCTGACAATGGAAAGAATGATTTGCATATAGTCTCTTCTGCTGTGAGCTGTAGCTGATGTTATGCAGATTTCTTTTATATTCTTAAGTAATATTTAAGATGTGGGTGATGATTTAGGAGGATGAAGGAAGGGCAGGGGGGTAACAGTGTAGAACTCTATAACTATGCTTAATAGAGAGGCATCCAGCAGATGTGAATTAACAAGGCAGTGACAACTTGTCACGAATGTTGGTTCTATTACAAATAAATACTACAACGTAGGCATACAGTTCTTAAAAGTGAACATTCATGTCAGTGCCATTTTGCTGCAAAAGATAAAGCTATTTCAGATCTTACTGTATCTTACAGAATTTACTATGAAGTTATTACAAACGAAAACTGGCCAACATTTCAGAGTAATGGAAAAGTATAAAGGCATAGATTATCCAAACATTTTTCAATTTGGCTTAAGGTTATGTTACATATATTTGCATATAGATATCACTGCTGTTTGGTAATTCTTCCTGTCAGAATAATCATACTGCGCTATGAAATCTGGACTCTGGAGAAGCTGGAAATCTAGTGGTGGTTCTATCCTAACCCCTGGTCCGCTTTTCCTTTGCAGTTCTGACCGTGCTACATAGACCACGCTCCTTTATAGTCACCCTTTCAGACCTTTTTTTATTATCAAGGAAGTTGCATTTGAGTTACAAAATTCTTCAGATACACAGGAAATGTAAGGAGTTGATGTAAAATTCTAAATAAGCATATTAGGTGATGAGAATTGTGGGTAAAAGCCTTTAAATGCTGACTGCTTGAAAAGCACAGCTAGCTAATTAGACCATAAACTAAACTGCAAATGAGTTTTATGTTTGTGTTTCTTAATGTTTTAATTTTAGATGCCAGAAAAAGGACTGAGACTCTGTGGGTTGGGTAGATCAAGGTCACATTAGAATCACAGTTTACTTATACTGTATTTTTATTTTAGTGAAGATTGATAAGGATAAACGCCTGGTGGTACTGGATGAAGAGCTTGAGGTTTGTTTAATCAGCTAAGTACAGTTTTATAGTTAAGCAATTACTGTTGCCTGAAAGATGCGGTGTTAGTTACGTGTCCTTTTAAAATGAGTCTAAAAACATGCTCATTATGCATGAAAAGCATGTGCTAATTATTATGTAGCACATTGTCTTGCTAATTTAATCACATTCTTGAAAACATTAATGAAACCAATGTAATAAGTGGTCGAAGATAGGGCTACACGTCCAGTAAAAACTCAGTTAACTTTATAACTTCTAACTTGTTCGGCCAGTAATTAAAATCTAAAATGCTATAACCTAAGCGTTTAGTTTGTCAAAGTAAGTAACTAATTTAGACTGAAAAAAAATTAACTTTTTTCTCTCTCCAAATCAGATGCTCCTTTGAGGAGTGGCCTATTATCTTATTCAGAATTTCTTGACAGCTGAAACATGAACACGGCTATTTAGATAATAAGTGGAACTAAACTGAGTGGGCTGGTGTGGGCTTTCATTGGCTTGAGGGTTTAGGAATCTCAGCTTATATACAATGTAGTAACCTAAAATTTTATGTTGTGGGATGTGGTTATGAAGTTATATCTGTTAATAGAATGGGTACTTGGTATAAGTTATATCTGTTAATAGATGGGTACTTGGTATATACTTAAGGTATTATGGGTAAGAAAATGTTTAAAAAGTTTTTTTCTTTGTGGTGCTAGGGCATTTCACCGGATGAACTTAAAGATGAACTGCCTGAACGACAACCTCGATATCCTTTTCTTGGTGCTTTAAAAAGATTTGTTTCCTTTAGTGGTCAGAATTTTATTTACGAAGTTGGTTTGTTCAATTTTTAAAAGACCTATATTTTACAAAATTTTCTCTTACACCATGATTACAATCAAAATATGTATGCACGGGGGCACCTAGGTGGCTCAGTTGGTTAAGTGTCCAACTTCAGCTCAGGTCGTGATAGCAGGGTTTATGAGTTTGAGCCCTGCATCAGGCTGTCTGCTGTCAGCCCAGAACCCACTTTGGATCCTCTGTCCCCCACTGTCTCTACCCCTCCCCCACTTATGTTTCCTCTCTCTCTTTCTCTCTCTCTCTCTCTCTCTCTCTCTGTCTCTCTAAAAAAAAAAAAATGTATGCACATATTGGACTAAGAAAAATGGGAAGTTGATGTACTAGTGGGATGAATTATTTCCTTTTTAAAAAATTCCTTCTATTATGTGGTTACAATAAAAATTTAGAAAGAAAACCTCCATACTAAATCTACACTTTTAATATATTTTTGAGAGATAATGTGATTTAATAACTTAACTTTGGGGCTCGTGTATACTTTTATGGAAAGATAATGATAATAAAGGTATGGCCCAAATGGATAAGAGAGAAATTTACCACTCACTAGCTCCCCAGGTGTATATTTCTTTCAGAACTTTGTCGGTAGATACTTGTCTCAAATAGAGCAATAATTTTAGTTTCTTTAACTTGAGAAAAACCTTCATTGTGTATAGTTATAAATACCAACATGATGATGGAAGAGTTTCATATCCTCTGTGCTTTATTTTCTCCAGTCCTGTTGGTGAGTGAATTCCTTTATATAGTATATTTCGTCCTGATCTAATTAAACCATTTTTATATAAGACAAATTTTATGCTTGTTTTAAAGATGTAAAGTGTTGACTTAACCTAAATAGAGGTATGTGTGCATGTGCACATGAATTCATCCTTAGAAAGAAGTTGTTTTCTTAGGATACATTTCTAGAAGTGTAATTCATCAGTCAAATCATACATACATTTAAGGAATATGAAACGTAGTGACATTTTAAAATACCAGCATACATTTTCTGTTTTAGTTTTGTGTGTGAGTACATGAACTTCATGTATAATCATGATATATATTTGTGTTTATGTGTAAAATAATAGTTACTGATGATAACGCCTATAATCTTGAGAATAGTTTCAGAGTAGCTTACATTAGATATTAAGGTGGCTTATTGTTATTCAGGGTATATCCATTATCACCAGAATTCCCAGTACTGTCACCATTATGCCCACAACTCTGAACTCTAAACTTTACTATTTGTATCCTTTACTTAGCACTTAAAATAGTAACTTTTGTCCAGGGTGCATCTCCCCACACTGATCCATCACCATCCCCAAACCTATATATGTTAGGCATCCATAAAATTGACCTTGATATTTAATGTCAAAATTAAAATAGTGCTGAAAAGTTCTTAAGTATTTACGAGGTTGTAAAAGATCTACAGAGATGTAGCCTCATTTATTTTTGTTGACCAGCCTTGTTTGTCATTTAGCTATGGCTTTGTGCAGGCAATATGCAATGTAAGACTCTCGAAATACACCCATACACACTGAGACTGAAGTTTTTTGTAAACTCAATAGGATAAGAATATCCTAAATGTGTCATTTTTTGAAAGTAAAAAGTGAAAACTCATCACTTTTTAAATTTCTAAGTCTCATGTCTATACTAATCTCTTTTCCAGGATGTAAGCCTGAACAACAGATGATGTATGCTGGGAGTAAGAATAAGTTAGTCCAAACAGCTGAACTAACCAAGGTGGTATTTGTATTTTACTTGCTTATTGAGATAGTATTTTTCCCTTAGAGCAATAGCTAAAGTAATCTGAAGAGTTAAGTATTTTTTATGCAGGTGAAAGTTATTTAGAACAGAGCAGTGAACTTAGAGAGTTTTATTGTTTGAAAAAAGAATGATACATGTCATTAATCAAAGTGTGTTTTTTGAATGGAAATTACAAGTTAATTAGAAGAAATCACATTCAAAATATAGGCAGCTTTAGAAAAGCCACTGCAACTATTCAATCTATTGAGAGTTTTTTTTATCTTCCGTAACGTAGTTTCTAGTAGATAAAAGTAAGTATTGAAGTTTCTCATAGCCCTTTACCATAGCCTAAATGAAACGAATTCCACATTATGCAGTTAACTATCTTGTTCCCAAGTCTAAAGTTAAATTGTTAAGAATACTTACTAGCTTTATGAAACTAGAACATTGTTTTATATGAGACACTGTCCTTATGCCTCCACTGTCCCCATTGTTTTATGGCATTTTTTGAAGTTTAATGGTAAGAGAGATACCTGTTCTCGAACTTTATTTAACTTCCACGTATTAGTTTGAGTTGTAAAAGTGTGTACTTTTAAGGTTTTGAAATGGACCATTACATCACTGAAATAATATTAAATAACATTTCCTTTCAGGTTTTATTTTAAGAACAGCATCAGTGTTTTCTCCTTAGGTGTTTAATCATCAATCCGGGAGATGTCTTTCATTCCCCCCTGCTTTTACCTTTAGCCCATGTGATTGTCATTGACAGCCCCAACTTATAGACCCTACTTTTTCTCATTTGTACCATAGGAACACCCTGGAGTTGATCTAAGGGGTGGGTGATTAGGAAGGACAGCCTCATTTCTGTTCTAATCTCACACACACCATAAAGTGCTGGAATTAAGGCATTACAATTTATAAGTGACTTTTACAAATAATCACATTGAATCCTCACCACGACACTGTGATATTGCTGTTCTGTAGGTGGGAAAATTGAGTTTCAGAAGATGAAAGACTGGCCCAAGGTTGCATAATAGTAAATGACAGAGCTAGGATTCAAACCCACATCTGGCCTCAATCCCATCCTTTCTGCTCTATTACATTGTTTCTTTATAGCCATTATACTTCCCCAGCCTGTGTGTGTACAGAGATTTGTGGCTGTGGGCCTGTAGTCCCTCCTTATCAAAACATTCTACAGCTTGTATTTCCTCCAACTATGGAAGACCAGTGTATGTTCTTCCAGTTCCTAACTAATTGATTGATTTTAGTTGTGTATACTTGGGGTATCTCTTCTAGTGGGTAAGATGTACAGAACTGTTCTTTTAGAATATTTGTAGATTTGTGCTTTTAAGAGAGTTTTGGTTTTATGCCATCTTGATTGCTAAACTTTGGTAAATTAGTACTTAGCATTTTAAAAAAGTAAAGGTTGGGGCACCTGGCTGGCTCAGTTGGTAGAGCGTGTGACTCTTGATCTCACGGGTGTTAAGTTCGAGCCCCATGTTGAGTGTAGATTACTTTAAAAAATAAAAAATAAAAAAAGTAAAGGTATGTCTAATTTACATAGATAAGTCATGACCAACATGAATGAAAGGAAGGAGAATTTGATATTCAACACTCACATATATATATATATTTTTTGAGAGTGTTAAAGTATGACATAAGGTTTTTTTCTTAAGGTATTTGAAATAAGAAACACCGAAGACCTAACTGAAGAATGGTTACGTGAGAAACTTGGATTTTTCCACTAATGTGAACTTCTGTGTTTCTAAAGTATTTATGTATTAACCTGACCATACTGGAACCAGACATAAATACTTATGCCTAAAAATGCACTGTTACTTACAGTTTGTTTCCTGCAGTAAAGAAAAATTCTTCGTTTGTTCAAAGTTTGAACAAAGGGGAAATCATCTTCATAGTAATGAAACTTTGTAAAGTGTTTCCTTATATTTGTAATTGTTAGGTGGACTACTTCTCTCCAGGGACTTTTTGCACTCTTGTGACTAATTTCTATAACTTATGGTTCAGAATTTGTTACTATTTACAGACACTATTGGAAAGTGGGTATTAGATTGTGATAGACAACAGTTGCCTCCTTTTGACAAATACTGGATATTAGCAGTTTATATATGAAAATAGCGTATTATCACTTGTCAAATCTTTGAAATTACTTTGGGGTAAAAGACTTGAATGACCCAATTTTGAGCCATGAAAAGTAATTTACTGTAGTATAATCTACATTACAAGTACATTTTTCATCAGTTCATGCCTTCTCTGGTTTCCTGTATCTTTTTAATCAAGTCCAGAAACTTTGTTCATCAGCCGTTCATTCTTAAGGTCTGGGAGTTAGATGTTATAATAGTTATGACTATTAGGTTTTCTTCTTAATAGAAAATAGCATCTTAGTCTTGGAAATTGATAGGTTGGAACTAATCAAGGGCTTCATTCCTGGTTGTGTCATAGCTGGATAGTTTTGGATCTAGGTTGATAACACTTTAATTATAAAGCACCTCTCAGTGTTGTCCTGTGAACACTAGTTACTTTAAGTGTGTTAATACTGTGCCTTTGATTTGTTAGCTTTAAAGTTAGTTTAAGACTTTTACACTGCCAGTATTCCAGATTTGGTGAAATTAATACTTTTGTAAAGGGTCCAAGTAAAACAATTTTCTAAATGTGTTTATCTGAAATTTGTAATAAAATCAACTTCATATTTTTAAAATTCCAACTATCTGCTTGCATTGGTGAATATATGGCAGTTGAGAGTTGTAACTTTGGGTATATTTATGATTAGTTTCGTGCCATAGGAAAAATTATTTATCTTAAAACCTTGGCCAGAGTTAATAACATTAACACATCAATAGAAATTGCATCTTCTATCCTAAATGTCAGAAGATATTCTAAACTGTACGTCAGTCTTGTTGGCATCTTTGGCATGAAGCAAGGATTCTAATATGTAGTGTACTTTAACAACATGTAAGTAAGTGTTGAACTTAATTTGACAAACAGTGTTGAGACTCTAAAGACTAATAAAATTTGGTGAGCAGATTCTTATATTAAGAATGTCTTAGTCATTTCAAAACTAGAAAGGCATTTTTTTAATGGCATATTTTCCATTCATCCATTCTTTGCATTTTCTTGTTGAGGTTTCTGTGCCAACTTTAATAAAGAGGTGAAGATAGTTGGAATTTCCACAATATTGAATCTTCTGTTGCCAGTGCTGTTTGGCTTCACTAATCTAAAAAACAGGAAGCAATAGGAAGTTAGTTGGAGATGAGGAAGTGCTAGAGTGGGCATTTGTTTTGGTTATCGAATGGGAAAGATTCTCTATTCCAATTTCTGGAGAGAGAGAGCGAGAGAGAGAGAAAGAGAAAGAGAGAGAACTTTACCCAGGAAGTTTATGAATTCTTTAAACAGCTATTTTGATATTGGAGAATAATGCTTCTAATTCCGTAGAAATGCAGATATAACCCAAGTGAATGGAGAGTGTTTTTAATGTTTTTAAATGAAGGAAATGAGATTTTGTTTCACCTGGTTTGCAGCAATAAGAGAAACTAGTGCTGCAAGAATGTATTTTTTAATGAGGTTCCTTTTTTGTCTTGCCTGTTTTTGTTTTTTTTAAACTGAAAGTCCTCACTGACCTCCATAAACAGAACTGAGTTCCCCTGTTCTCTAACAGGGGCAAAGAG